AACTGAGTGATTCCAGTGGAACTTTAAACCTGCATGATGCTGCTTTGGGTTCACCTCCTCCTCACTCAGCATTCAGAGCTTCTGTGCTGAAGTTCAAATGACCCTCTTTGCTGATTACTGGGTGCCTCCTCCTCTTCATATTTGTACAAGCATCACAGCTAATTTGCTAAAAAGAGTGGTCGAAAACACTAATGGGATAACTAAAAAAGACTTGTTGGTTTAAGGTAATGTTGGTAGTCCATCGCTGACAATGACGATGATATTGTCGCAGTTCTCATCTATGGCTATGCATATGACTCTGAAGTCCAAATCCTGATGCACAGAGTCGGCCGCACTGAGGACATGGGAAGTCCATATCTAAGATGTTTGATGCAGCTCTGTGATGCCTTTCACGTGCAGCCTGGAGACGATTCTAGCGATCCTGCTCAAACCTGTTACATGCTGATCTTGTCAGAGACCACCAGTGAGTTCTGTTTTATATCATTTTCTCAAGTTCTTTGGTATTGATCCCAGTCCACTGGAGACTGCTCTTCAAGTTATCTTTGGAGTGCTTATATGGACCCTTCTTTCTTTTATCCATGCCATAGCTCCCCATACAAGATCTGTTTTGGGAGACTCTGGTCAGCAAAATTGAAGACATGTCTTGTCCATCTCTCGGCATTTCCTCAATGCTGGTTGTGTTTGCTCTCTCAAGGACCTTAATATTGGTCACTCTGTCCTGCCAGTGAATGCTCATTTTTGAGCGGAGGGAGCACATGTGAAATTGCTCACACTGTTTGATGTGCCATCTATAAGGAGTCCATGTCTCAGAACCATACAAGAGAGATGTTAGAACCACTGCACAGTAGATCTTCAATTTGGTGGAGAGACAAATGTGTTGGTTAAGGACTTTTTTTTTTCAGAGCCGAAAGCCTGGCTGGCTTTACTGATTCTGAAGGTTGATTTCCTTGCCAAGGGAACTGTCGCTAGAGGGGGTGCTGCCCAAATACTTGAACTGATCCACATTTTTCAGCAGTGTGCCTTGGATGAAGATGGCTGGGGCATTGGAATGAAGTGCTGGTTGGAACAAGACCTCTGTCTTACTGAGACTGAGGGTGATGCCAAAGAGCTGGGATGCTTCAGAAAAGCTATCAACGATGACCTGAAGGCCGTCATGTCTATGGGCCATCAAGGCACAGTCATCTACAAAAAGTGCCTCGAAGAGAAGTCTCTCCAGCATCTTGAACTTAGCATTGAGTCTTCAAAGATCAAAGAAGGAGCCATTGAGTTGGTAGTGGATGTATATCCCCTGATCCAAGTCCCTTGTGGCATAGCTGAGGACACAGGCAAAGAACAAATCGAACAGCACTGGAGCAAGTACTCAGCCTTGCTTCACTCCATTCGAGATTTCAAATGTGTCGGAAGAGTCACCATTGGAGAGCACTTACACTGTCATGTGGTCATGGAACAGATGAATGATTTGTATGAACCTTCTTGTGCAGTTTATGTAGAATAGCCCATAGACCCTTTCTGTTGACCATATCAAAAGCTTTGGTCAAGTCAATGAAGACTGCATACAGGTCCATGTTCTGCTCTATGCATTTTTCCTTGGTCACCTTACGACAAAAATCACGTCTGTAGTACTGTGATCTGGTCTGGAACCACACTGCGCTTCTGGCAGATTCTCCTCAGATATATTTGCAATGAGTCTGTTCAGTAGAATGCGAGCTAGTATTTTCCCTGCTGTACAGAGGAGAGAAATGTCTCTATAGTTTCTGCAGTCAGTTTTGTGGTTTAAGAGAAGCACCTAAAAGTTTGAATGCTTATCTGAATACTTACTGTTTCCATTATTAATAATCTACTCCTCAATGAGAGCTCAGCTTAATGACCTCAATTCAGGAAAGAATTTGAGCCAAAGTTTTAATTTCATCTCTATTCAAGACAGCACTTTAGTCCAGGCTGAAGTCCTGTTCTGAATACAGAGGTTTTCCTGAATTTGAACCAATTTTAGTTTTGCATCCTACAGAAAGGAATCAATTCTTCCCCATTGTCGGCAAATCTAGCAAATCAGTAGCAGTATTTAATGGGACAGGTAATATGGTATAGAATTAAAGTAGTGAACTCTGATTATTGGGACTCCTGGGTTCTTTTCTTGGCTCTGGCTCTGATTCAGTGTGTAATTTTGCACAAGTCACTTATCTTTCTGCTTCCATGCAGCTCTGTATAATGAGAATAATAATTTACTTCTCGCATGTTCATGGGAAGGATCAACTAAAGTTTGTAAAATGCTCTGAGACTCTGGGATGAAAAGTTATTTAAGTTTGAGATTTCCTTATTAGACATTCATAACTCATTATTCATTACTTAATATGATAACAGTGGTAATTAAGGTTCAGATCACCAAAGGGATTTAGGCACCTACACCCCAGATTTAGGCACCACAGCAATCCAGAAAAAAACTCTGCTCAGCTGCCTCCTAACACTGTAGGCACCTAAACTCACACAGCACCTAAATTTTTGCTGTAAAAGTTCCCTAGGCACCTACGTTTCTGCCTCTAGGCATTTTCAGTGCTGCCTCCTCGCTCTAGGTGTTCAGTTCCTGTTCCTTCCTCTTTGCCAGAGGGGAGAAAGGATTTGAACAGGGGTTTCCCACCTCTCAGGAGAGTGTCCTGACCACACCTAAGTCTCACTGTGGATCCAGACCTACATGCCTAACTTCCTAAGGCTTTGTGTGATTTGGTGTCCACCCCACACAAGGCAGAGCAGGTTAAATTGGCTAATCAACCTGATAGGCAGCACCTGGGGGAGAACCAGGGCTTGAAAGGCTGATTCATGATGGAGCCCAGCCAGGGCCGGTGCAAGGAAGTTTTGCACCCTAGGCGAAACTTCCACCTTGCATCACCCCCCAGCCTTGCAGCAGCTCCCTGCCCCCCCCCTCCGCCCTGAGGCATCCCCCCTACCCCCCCACAGCAGCTCCCCCTCTGGGAAGCCGTGCAGCAGCTCCCCACCCCAGCTCACCTGTGCTCCGCCTCCTCCCCAAGCACACTGCCCCCGCTCTAATTCTCCTTCCCTCCCAGGCTTGCGGCACCAAACAGCTGATTGGCGCCGCAAGCCAAGAGACGGGAGAAGTGCGCTGGGAGAGGGAGTCTGAGCCGCACGTGTCAGCGCGCCGCCGGCAGCCCAGCCCAAGAACGCTGTAAAAAAAAAAATTGGGGGCACCGCTTTTTGGCACCCCCAAATCTTGACACCCAAGGTAACCGCCTAGTTTGCCTTAATGGTAGCACCGGCCCTGGATGCAGATAGGTGCCGAACTCCCATTGATTTCACTGCTCTCAGCCGGTGGTTTGCCCTGGGAGTAGCCGCTAACCAGATGACGTTAACATACAGATGCATATAAGATACTGATCTATTTTAAAAACAACAACATTGTTTATGTAAAAATATTACATTTATTTAGGATCCCACAGTGTATTCCAAGTTATATACACAGATATTATTCACTCCACCACTGAAATGCCACTACCTCTGCAGTAGAATACACCAGCCATTCTGAAACAAGACAGAATGCAGAAGAGATTTCACAAAGAATAAATTCTCCAAATGAAGCTGCAAAGGGGATGTTCTAGGTATGCTGAATGCAGTTACCCTAATTTACCAGAATTTACTCAGGCAATACTTCAGTGTCCTGTGCTCTGTCAATTACCACAAGGAGTCAGGACCTTGGTTTTATGTCTCATTCAAAAGATGGTATATCCAATGTCACACTGTCCCTACTTAGTGTCATTGCTTCAGTAACAAGCGCTCCCTACAGAAAGGGAAGTGTACCACCTATTCAGTCACCAAAATCTCTACTTCCTGCATTTTCCTAGGATGTCACCCATCCAAGTGACCAGAACTAACTATATCTCATATTTGAGATTGGAGATAATCACGCCTAAAAGCAGCGTGTGCATATGTGTATACACGGATCTTTCTAATATGGACAAGATTTAACCATAAACCAGTTTCTTCTCAAAACTGAAAAGGAATATCAAATGGTTTCCAGTCACTTAATCCAATGTGAAACAAGAAATCAAAGGAGTTCAGTCACTTGCAGCCGACTGGAATGTATTCTAGTCTGCACTGCATCTGTAAGTAGCATGTGCTAGAATAAGGGCCAGTCCATCATTAAAAAGAAATCACCAAGTAAGATTTTCTCCTGTGCCAGAGTTCAGTTTGGCCCAGAAGGGTGAGAATGAGGCACCAGGTTTGGTTGTCCTGATTCTAAAGACCAGCACTGGCCCTGATACCACTTAGAGCTGTTGCCAGGGTGCTCTAAGTTACACCATTAGCATGGGTCCTTAATGTACCCTGTGCCAGGGGTGGATAGGTACAGTGTAGCAGAGTTCTGCCATGCCCCCTCCCTGCCCCTTCCCCACAGCTGGGATGGAGTCAGAGGTGTAGACCCAGATGTAGTCCAGTAATGCCCAGCAGAGTTTCCCTACAGCAAGGGAATTGTCTGTTGGGCATTTTCAGCCAGATTATAGCTGCCTGAAGGGTGCAAAGGGGCTGCCACACATGAAACAGTCTAACCCATTATTCGTGTAGAGTAACATTAAAATAAAGATGTCAAACTAAACATCTAAGAAGTATTGTACATAGTGCTCTAAGTGTGCATGGTGTCATACATGCATTCTACATAGCACATGCAACGTAGGTTGAAAAACAGGGATGTGGGAGCTATGTTTCTTTGACCTTGTTTTCTCTAACAAACATATAGCAACATGTATATATAGACACACTACTATTAAAAAAAAACCCAAAAACAAGACACTTCACTGCTCACACTTCTCTGAGGACAGGGTGCTAGAACAAACACTGACAGATGTGTAGTCACATGGCTTAATGCACTAGTGGAAGGTGCTCAGAAACTACAATGATGACCAGGGTATAACACCCTACACAGAAGAGAATATATGTGAGAAGTATTAATTATTGATAAGATACAAGGAAAATTAATGATCATCTGTCCACCAGCCTACCATGAGGATGGCAAAAATGTCTTCTCTGTGCCTAATAACCAGGGCGGTGTGTAGCAGTTTTCCCTTCTGGTTCGGTAGTCAGGTTCTTTTCTTCCTCCCTGGCTGAAATGCTGTTATACATATACTGTATTATTTGAGCTTCCTATTAGGGTCTATTGAAGTCACTGAAAGAAAAAAAAGTATAATTAAATAAGGCTTTAGAAGACAGATAATAAATAACTAGCGAAATCAAGGGATTGAGGCAAAGCTAGAGTTGCTTAAACATTCTACATGGCCATTCACTAGATGTAAGACAGCTAAACAGTTCATTATGACCAATGAAGATCTCAATTAAAAACTGTACTGACTGGCTTCAATAAAATGTAAGGATATCAGGGCCTATGAGACTTATGCGTGTGCTTTAAATAATCAGGGGCTTGATGCTGAGCTGACTTACCTGATCCTGTAAAGCATTTAAGCATGTGCTTAACATTAGGCATTGTCTTTAATGGGACTACTCACATACCTAATATTAAATATGCTTTTATGTGCATTGGAGTGCTTGGAAATTTGCAGGGTCAAGCCTCTGATGAATAGGGAAGAGATTATTAATGTGTTTAAAATTAAGCATGTGCTTAACTGTTTGCTGAAGCAGGTGCATAGGCAGGTTTCAGTTTTGCTTTTATTGTTTTGTTAGTTCTACTAAGTTTTAGCGTAGGCACATTTGTCTGTGATTTATTTCTCTGTTTTTTTGTTTTTTTTTAAATCATTCTTGGTGTTTTAATATTTAATAGCACCATTAGATGCTGAGGTACTTAGAATTTTTGTTTGTCAACATTCTGTTTCCATTATCACTCTAGTAATTATTGCTATTTTTTAATTGATTAAATAAGAGTTCTACTTTAACATTTAAACCTAAAGGTTAATAGCAAAGATGTGTGATGACAGAAACTGTATAACAACTGCATGGTTTAGCTGCCTACCAGGGTCAAAGCAGAAGCTACATGTGTCCTCCGTAATCCACAAAGTGGGGGAAGCCAGAATATTCAAAATAAAATCCTTTTTTAGTTGAAACATGCCTGTTTTCATGTTTGCAAAATCTTTATTGTATTGGGGCAATTTTAAAAGATCTCAAATTTTTGGTATTAAACTTCGAAAATTGTTTTGCTACCAAGTTTATTGGGGAAAATGTTGTGACAGATTTATATGCAATTTTTCAAATGGGGCTGGTTGGTGATAACACTAAACACATGAAACTGGATCTGGTTCTCTGATCAGCTGAATCTATCCCTTATAGCTCCAATCAAATCTTTATGGGAAGATGCCTGCCCCTATGAGAAGCCCCATTCGCCTTTCTGATTTTGTAAAAGGAAATAGTGTCTGAAAAAATCAACATGGTTATTCTAAAGGGAAATCATGCCTCACCAATCTACTAGAATTCTTTGAGGGGGTCAACAAGCGTGTGGACAAAGGGTATCCAGGGGATATAGTGTACTTAGATTTTCAGAAAGCCTTTGACAAGGTCCCTCACCAAAGTCTCTTAAGCAAAGTAAGCTGTCATGAGATAAGAGGGAAGGTCCTCTCATGGATTGGTAACTGGTTAAAAGATAGGAAACAAAGAGTAGGAATAAATGGTCAGTTTTCAAAATGGAGAGAGGTAAATAGTGGTGTCCCCCAGAGGTCCATGCTGGGACCAGTCCTATTCAGCATATATTCATAAATGATCTGGATAAAGGGGTAAACAGTGAGGAGGCAAAATTTGCAGATGCTACAAAACTACTCAAGATCGTTAAGTCCCAGGCAGACTGCAAAGAGCTATAAGGGATCTCTCAAAACTGGGGGACTAGGCAACAAAATGGCAGATAAGATTCAATGTTGATAAGTGCAAAGTAATGCACATTGGAAAGCATAATCCCAACTATACATATAAACTGATGGTGTCTAAATTAGCTGTTACCACTCAAGAAAGGTCTTGGAATCACTGAGGATAGTTCTCTGAAAACCTCCACTCACTGTGCAGCAGCAAGTCAAAAAAGCGAACAGAATGTTTGGAATCATTAAGAAAGGGACAGATAATAAGACAGAAAATATCATATTGCCTCTATATAAATCCATGGTACGCCCACATCTTGAATACTGCGTGAAGATGTGGTCGCCCCATCTCAAAAAAGATATACTGAATTGGAAAAGGTATAGAAAAAGGAAAAAAATTATGAGGGGTATAGAGCAGCTTCCATATGAGGAGAGATTAATAAGACTGGGACTTTTCAGCTTGAAAAAGAGAGGACTAAAGGGGGATATGAGAGAGGTCTATAAAATCATGACTGGCGTGGAGAAAGTAAATAAGGAAGTCTCATAACACAAGAACTAGGGGTCACCAAATGAAATTAATAGGCAGCAGTTTAAAACAAACAAAAGGAAGTATTTTTTCATACAATGTATAGTCAACCTGTGGAACTCTTTGCCAGAGGATGTTTTGAAGGCCAAGACTATAACAGTGTTCAAAAAAGAACTAGATAAATTTATGGCTGATGGGACCAAAAATTCTAGGGCCTGATTATTCCTACCCAGGAGGGGAATGGCTTGAATTAAGGAAATCATTAGATAGGCAAACTACTGCCCAACACCCAGTTTATTAAACAGGCAGGAAAGTTACCCACCCACATTTACGCAGATTCTGTCCTCTCAGCCTCCCAGCTCTGCTTGAAGAAACAACAATTATTACATATGCCCTGGAATCATCTCTAGTATTTTATGGAAGTATAATTTAGATAAACTGTAGTTTTTTGAACGTTGAAAAATTTGGCTCTCAGCTGGTCAGTATGGTTTTTCTGGCACCCGGAGATACTACAATGATAAGTGCCTACCAACCCATTAATCATAATAGCAAATAACAATTTAAAGTCACATTTAGACTCTGGGAGGGGGGGAAATAGAAATTGTGAGTAAGAGGATACTATGTGTCTAGCTGACTTGGATTGCCCACCTGTACTTTTAATTAATATGTTTATGTTGCTCTTTCACTGAATAGAGTATCCCCTCCTTCTACAACAGTGGTTCTTAACCTGGGGTGCATGCACCCCCTGGGGGTGCGAGATTCCCTTTCTGGGGGTGCAAGACATGCCAGATTTTTTTAGAAGGTAAATCATCGAAAATACAAATTAAGCACAGGCACGTAAGTACAACTACTTTGTTTCATCAAACCTATGTATTTATTAACATTGTACATTTTTAATGATTACTGTAATATACAAACAAAAAATATATCTAGGCTTAAGGGGTGCAAGAACATATTTTTTAGGTTTAAAGGGTGCGAGAACATATTTTGAGAACCAAAGGGGTGCAGGCTGCAGTAAAGGTTAAGAACCACTGCTTTACAGGGTGTGAAAGTGCTGTTTCTGCAATATTTTCTGCTCCTACTAGCCCAAAAAGCAAGAGATTGGTAGTATTAATTGAACTTAGGCCTTCTGCATAAAGATTCAGAGTATTACTGTTAGTTTGCGGGCTAACTACATAGTTCAGTGGTTAGCAAACTGACCTCTAGTGGAATGAAGGGGACTTGTAAATGAGTGGCAAGATGTGGCAGGTATCAACTGAAAGGCTGAATCTAGATAGGAAAGTAGACTACCACTTTTGCCAATTTTCATTTGCTAGATAATGGGTGCTGGCAGCTGGCATTATTTGACTACCTACACCAAAGTACTTTACCTGTACCAACTGCAGTGAATGCAACTGACTACGGTCTGCATCACGGATAAAAGGCTTCAGAGCAAGAGGTTTCCAGTTTGAATCTCCAGGCACTAACTCGAATCAAAAAAGAAAAAGAAAGCTAAGAGAAAAACGGAGAGGCTCAGAGAGACCCAAAACAAAAGAAAAAAGGAGAGAGACATAAAGACATGGATAGCATGAAAAAGAAGAAGACAGAAAACAGTAATGGTCCAAAACCAGTTTCTCCTACAGTTGGGCCACACTGTTATACCCTGCTCACTCAAGTGGAGTAGTACTGTGCTCTATGAGTGGTCCCATGGAAGTCAAGGGGAGCACTACACAATGTGAGTAAGGGTTGGACAATCAGGCCCTATATAAGCTACCACAATTTGCCTTTATACTGAAAAATTGTGGTTGGAGGCAGGTTCTTTTTGTGCAACAGGCTACAGCTCCCAACTAAGCTCCTGGCCATAGGTGCCAACTCCGTGGGTGCTCCGGGGCTGGAGAACCCACAGAGAAAAATTAGCGGGTGCTCTGCACCCACCGGCAGCCAAGCTCCTCCCTCCTCGCCTCCTTCTCCCCCCCGCCCAAGGGCGCAGCATCCCAGCTCCTCCCCCTCCCTCCCAGCGCTTCCCGCCCCTCCCCCCCCCCAACAGCTGTTTGGCGGTGCTTAGGACTTTCCGGGATGGAGAGGGAGGCGCAGGGACACGGCGCGCTCAGGCGAGGAGGCGGAGAAGAGGCAGGGCAGGGGTGGGGTCTTGGGGGAAGGGGGTGGAATGAGGGTGGGGCCAGAGGTGGGTGGGATCGAGCACCCACCGGACAGAGGGGAAGCCGGCACCTATGCTCCTGGCTGGAAAGAGTTTAGAAACCACTGATGTAAATTCTTGATGGATTTTCAAGAGAAATCAGTGAGCCATCTTTTCTAAATTAAGAAATTAGAAGCGACTTCAATAATATAAAGAAGGCTAACTACGAGGCCTACATTATCCAGCTGGATGACACTGGACAACACATGAGCTGTTTGATTCATGTTTGTGCTCATTAGGTCCTTATTTGTGTATTGTTCAGAATAATCCTTTGTGCTTTAAAATTATATTAAAATTAATACTGTCAAAGGAGTCATTTTATAGGAAACGAATGTATTCATGTCAGGGAAAGTACGTTAAATTGTAGCCAATAAAGAATGAAGAAGGGGACATTTTAAAAAAGGGGAAATCTGGGAGAAGACATACAATTGTTGTTCTTCACTACCTCATTATTTGTAATCAGTGATATGTAAACTTCAGATTATAATTCAGGATCAATTCAGATGCAAATATCAGAGCCTTAATTGTATATGTAGAAGAAAGAAAACTGTGACAATGTTAAAATGTGCTTTCTTCTGTTGTTTCTATGTCCGCTAAGACAGACATTCAAAGTTTAAGCAGTTTCACATCACCTGGGTATGTTTATAATGAAGTAAATTCCCTTATAAATATTCTGTGTAAATTGCAAAAAAACAAGAAGTGGTTTGTACTGAAGCCAAATAGCAAAACTGAAATACTGTAAAATCACAATATTTCAGCGAATAGGATATATACAGCAATACTTTCATAACAGAGTACTCAGCACACTCTTATATACTCATTTGGGCCCAATCCTACATTCCTTACTCAAGCAAAATTCCTGTTATTCAAAATTCATTTATCTACTGGAGCTTCACACACATATGTAGAAGGAGTTGGAAGATGTAATACATCGATTTACCTGGTAACAGTACGCTCAGTTTAGGCCAACTGTTAAAGTCCAATGTGCCAATTAAAAAAAAAAATCAGATTCTTGTAGGCTAGTTATTATGTTGCTTTTCTATGGGGACAGATACATTCTGCAGAGTTCAGAGCCAGTCTGTTTTCTCCTTGATGCAATGCATGCATAACTCTCGTTATGGAAATTAGAGTTGTGCATGTAGCTGGGAACGAAATTCACATCCCCTGTGCAACGCCAGACCTCAGAGTTTGCAGAGCATGGAACGGACATGGGGGATATGAAGAAACGAATTTTTTTCCCCTAATCCAGCAGGGTGCCAGAATCCCACACAACTATGTCTCAGCTCATTATATTCCTATCCCTCAAGGTTTTGAGGTCAGTCCACACAATTACGTATCTGCTCACCACAAGCCTGATCCAAGCCCACTGAAATCAACAGAAAGATTCCCAGTAACTTTTTTGCTCTCTGAGTCAGGTGCTAAACCCCCTCCAACAAACAGTTTCCAGCTCACATTCCCTCATGGACATGGAATGTGGTGATATGAAAATCAGCTTCACTGTGTGAAGAGCATTGTAGAATTCCCCTATGAAGGTTCTCCACATCTTACCTTTCAGCTCCATGCAACAGACCTGGCAATTCAGCCTCATTTTGACACTTACACACAGACCAGACTACACCCTGAAAGTAAAGGGAGAAGAGATTCCTACATGGATATTCTGTAAATCAAAATATCTTATTTAGTTTTTTAAGGAACTTGGATATATGGACTGCAGGTAACACTTATTTTTTGTATTTAGAGAAAATGTTACATGCATTAAGGTCTAGACCATGCCTTCAAGACACTGCCTCAAGGCGTGTGGGAAGAGGTTGCCTCACTCTAGCCCTATACAGGCACTATACCTGAGTCAGGCACAATACTGCCTGATGTTCTGGGGGGACTATCGGCCTTTTACAGCTCTGCTGGGCAGGGCACAAGGACTTGGCGTCATGAACCCACCCACAAACCATCCTATCTCCTTTGGGGAGCATAGTTCTGTCATCAGCAGTAACCTGGAGCATAAGAAACGGAATTGTGCTTGATCACCGAACAGAATCACAAATGGAGGGATCATGTATCCCCTTTGCATCTCTACACATGGCCAGAAATAACCTTGCTTCTCTGGAAAACACTCACGTTTTTATAACCATCTGACAGCATACAACTTACAAGCACACGGGATGCAACTCATCACTGAGCTGACACCTATCCAACACAGGCAGAAAAAATATTGATGCAGATAAAAGCCTATGAGAACACAACATATCCTGCAGCAGCATGGTGAAAGGCAGCATACGTCCAAATGTGCAGAAGATTGCATAACTGAACTATTTTGTCACTCCCCAAATGCTTATAATAAAGGGAAAAAAGGTTAAAAAAAAGTTTCTGACTTTCGTTAACCTTCTCTTGTAGTTCAGGTTATTTCTTTAATGCATTTATCTGCTTTAAAATTGTCTCCTTAGCCTCTCAAGGGAAACCAATATAATACACCATCACATTTCTCACAGGAGAAAAAAGAACACTTACTCTTAATAGGTGGCAATTTTGCCAGATGTTATTGACATAGTAAGTACGAAATTTCAGTGATACTAAATGCAAAGTGCAGCAGATTAAAGAACAATGGAACAAAGTGCAAAATGAAGTTTCAAAAGCAGCAGTGTCAAAGTCAGAGAAAGTGTGAAAAAAATACATTTTAACAACACTATTAAGAACAAGTTTACTAATTACTGTAACTGGCACAAATTTAAAAGTACATTCCTGAGACTTGGGAAAGTTTTTCAAGTGTTATATTTTTTTCTTGTCAGCATTTCTTTTTTTCTTTATGCACTGTAGAAGAGACATAACACTGCTGGAACTAACACAATGACACTTCAGGCTCTTTAGCTTTCACTTCTTAACCCTTCCATAACATATAATACCTTTGCAATTCCTGCTTATTTAGAGCATGCAGTGAACTACAGAAAATGCTTTGATAACTAACACTGACATCATTTAAAATAAAGACCATGGGATTGATTCACTCATGCTTTACACATTCTCACATTAAATAATGGAATTTACACACCAAGAATGACTTATTAAAAATTCAACAATATCCTGTTTTTCTACTACAAAGAAAAACTGTATATTGTGCACCATCTCCTCATACTTAATTATCCACTAAAGCTCAATAATAGAACACTACAGTCCCCAGATGCTCAGATGCTGTAAA